AGGGCAGATCCTAGATCCCGGTGACAAAATCCCATAGGCAACAGGATCAATGACATGCCTCTCCTACATTGACATCACTGTGCAAATGCTGTAAACATTGATCTCTCTGAGTTAATTTGATGGGAAAGAACATAGGTATATTTCTTATTCTTACTCTGACACCATGACAGATATTATAACTTGTCTCTTTTCCTATATATGAAGAATCCGAATAAAGTGAAAGAAATCAGGTCGTTAGAGAGCATCAAGAGAACATAACAAATAAATGGATTACAGATAATCAGAGTTGGAAGGAACCTTGTAGGTCATCTCGTCCAAACCTGCCCAAAGCATGAGACCCTACACCATTTCTGACAAATGGGAGTCCAATCTCTTCTTGAAAGTCTCAAGTGATGGTGCTCCTACAACTTTCGAGGGCAAACTGTTCCATTGGTTGATTGTTCTCACTGTCAGAAAGTTTCTCCTTATTTCTAGGTTAAATCTCTCTTTGTTCAGTTTCCATCCATTATTCCTTGTCTGGCCTTTGGGTACTTTAGAATATAGCTTGACCCCTTCCTCTCTGTGGCAGCCCTTCAAATGTTGGAACACTACAATCATGTCTCCCCTGGTCCTTCTCTTCACAAGACTAGTCATGCCCAGTTCCTGTAACTGTTCTTCATATGTTTTAGTCTCCAGTCCCCTAATCATCCTGGTTGTTCTTCTCTGTACTTTTTCTAGACTCTCAACATATTTTTATAGTGTGGTGATGAAAACTGGATGCAGTACTCTAGGTGTGGTCTTACTAAGACAATCATTGTGACTAAAGAGTTCTATCAATATCTAGAGAGCTAACTAAAAGCTAGATGATGATGATGATGATGATGATGATGACAGATTGATAGATGATAGATAGATAGATAGATAGATAGATAGATAGATAGATAGATAGATAGATAGATAGATAGTGTTTGATTTCGTTGTACAAGGTGTAATGACAATAAAATAAAGTAAAGTAGATGATAAAGATACATTATAGACTCTACTAATTTTGTCATTTGATGATGTTAAATTTGACATTATCAAATTTGCAGATGACACTAAGCTGGGAGGAATAGCCAACACCCCAGAAGACAAGTTCAGGATCCAAAAGGATCTTCACAGACTTTAACAATGGACTCTATCCAACAAAATGAATTTTAATGTGGAGAAGTGCAAACTTTTATATTTAGGCAGGAAAAATCAAAGATATAAATACAGATTAGGTGAAACCTGGCTCAAAAACAGTAACTGTGAGAGTATCATTGGAGTCCTAGTAGATGATCACTTAAATATGAGCCAGTAGTGTGTGGCAAAAAAGCTAATATAATCTTTGGCTATATAAACAGAGTCATAGAATCAAAATCAAGTGAAGCATTAGTGCCAATTTACAAAGCCTTAGTAAGACCACACCTTGAATACTGCATCTAGTTTTGGTTACCACGCTACAAAAAAAGATGTTGAAACTGGAAAAAGTGCAGAGAAGAGCAATTAAGATGATTAAAGGCCTGGAGACTAAAACATATGAAGAATGGTTACAGGATTTGGGTTTGGCTAGTCTAGAGAAAAGAAGGACTAGGGGGGATGTGATACCAGTATCCCAGTATTTGGGTGCTGTCACAAAAAAGAGGGGGTCAATTTATTTTCCAAAGCTTCAGAGGACAGGACAAGAAACAATGAATGGCGGACTTCCGGTTTGCAACCTTTCGGCGGCGGCAGGGATTCGCGACCGCGCGATCCCTGCTGCGTTCACCGCCAAGGTTCCCCCGATCCATTTGGATCTGGGGGATATAGCTGCCCTGCAGAGGCAGCTGAAGACAGGGGGGATCCGGCAAGGGATTTGGGGGTGTCGCAAACCCCCTCCCCAGCCGGCTAAACCCCCTTTTCCCGAGGCGGAGGAATGGCGGTCAGCAATGGCCGCCACGAAGAAAGCTGCAGCCGGACAAGCAGGTGCAGGAGGGAGGGAGCTGAAAGAAAAGTGAAAGTTGATTCTAACTGGGACAAGACGGGAGAAAGTGACCTGGAATCTTGAAGGCTGCTAAGTATATATTGTTCCCTGTGAGAGTTTTAAGCTGCGAATATTCTAAAGGGGAAAGTTTTTTCTTTGTTCTACTCTCCTTCCTAAAGTGACAGCGGAAAAAAACAAAACCTTTTTGGCTGTGAGTGGGAAGGGAGAGTGAAAAAAAAATTAGAGCAAAATTTGAAAATAAGGAGAAGATTGCCTAGAATTACAAAGAGTTTAAAAACTTCCAAAATATATATTTTAAAAGGATTTGTGATTATTTTAACCCCAGAAAGAGAAAGTGAAGAAGAAGAAGGTATCTAAAAGAAATAGTCTGTTTGGATTGTTTGGTGACTTTGGAACCTTTGGAAATTACTTCTGATTAAATCATCTGGGTGGTTGTTTGGAAAAACTTTTTCTCTACACAATGGCATCATCTATGGATGAATTGGAACTTATATATCAAAAATTTGAAAGAGAAAAACAAGGAGGGGAAGATGGTCTTGACACTATTTTTCAATACTTAGAAATGGCGGTTTATACTTATGTGAAGCAGAATGAGGATGATGGGGACAAAGAAGAAGGAGAAGCCATCTTTGATGAACAAATGACTTTGACTGGAGAAGAGAAAAAGCAAGAGAAAAAGGGGAAAAGGTCTTTAAGATCTGGAAAAATAGCCCAAAAAGAGAAGAATAAGGTGAAAAGGGGGAAAGCAGAATAAAAGGGAGGTGGAGAGACAAGGGGTTAAAGAGGACAAGGAGAAGAAGAAACAAGAAAGAAAGGAAGGGATGAGAAGTCCTAATGGTGGGGAGCAAGATGTTAAGAAGCAATTTTTTTTTTAGAGATAATGGATAAGCTTTATGGTTAAAGGGATTCTAGAAAGGTACATAAGACTGCATTTTTATACTTGTATTTAGAAGTAAACATAGAAAATTAGAAATAATATGTAACCTAAAATGTGATAAAATATTTAACATAAATTAGTGAATTTGACTTCTCTGGTATAGGATCACCTGCTTGAGCAGAGGGCTGGACTAGAAAATTTTCAGCTTATTCTATTCTATTCTATTCTATTCTATTCTATTCTATTCTATTCTATCCCATCAGACCCTACAAGAAATGCATACTACATGTCCTGTCTCTCTGGGAACTACATACTCAGGCAGGTGGGTCTTTTTGGCCATGGTACCTGCCTTATAAAAGCCTTCTCCCCCTAAGTGAGGTCAGTTCCATCCCTCCTTATTTTTTGGTAGCCCCTGAAGACCTGGCTTTGTCATCAGACCTAGAGATCTCTGGCAACTAGTGATGTCTTGTGGTGGCTCTGTGGCTGACAAAATCTATTATAGATGATGGGGTTTATATTAATGTGGTTAATATGTTTATTGTAATTTGGTATGTACATCTTGTCTCATTGACTCATAGCATGACTTCAGCATTATTTTCCTCTTTCAAACCATCTGTGATCTCAAACACTCATACTGCCATTCTTCAGAGCAGAAACTACATTAAGCAGAGGAGTGACAAAATAATTGCAGCAAATGAACTCCTGTTCTTCTTAAACTATGTTATAAATCAAGAAAGTTTGGAATCTGGTTATAGATATGTATACCACAACATGGTAGTGTCTTTCAAAAAAATGTCTCAAATATATTTTTCTTTAGTACATACGGCGCTGCCCCCCTTTTCTGCTTCATGATTAAATTTTAAAAGTTCAAAACATTACACCAGTCTTGCAGATATAAAATCATATTTTTCCTTTTGACATTTTGCAAAGAAAGTACTATTGCAAGTAAGCTATTATGTTCTAAGTAATTACCAAATTAAGTATCATTGTTGCATTTTTTTTCTCCATGTCCCAAGGGAATCCCAGTAAACATGAAAAAATTATAAGTACCAGTTAAAAAAATGTATTACATTAATATCAGCTCAGAAATATATAATTACAAATAGGGAGAATAAGAAAGATGCACATTTGATTCATGATAATTCATTTTAGATGAAGTTCCTAAGAGGCTGGTGGATTATGACACAGACCATCCATTCAATGGTGAAATTGGAGCAACACTTTAACACTTACAATGACTGTATTTTACACTGAGTTGCTTCTGTTCAGAATCCTGTTTTTATTCTTGCTTCCTAAGACAATATGGGATTCTCCTATTCACAACTGCAACCTCAGAGGTCCTCTTTCAATTGTTCACAAGTATTATCAGTCTGGAGACTTAATCATTGCTGCTATTATATATCAGGTCTTCTTTCTTTCAAATCAGATCATTTTTCATAGTGTTCCTTCACATGATGTGCTTGATCAGTACCTGTAAGTATGCAAGAAATAGTAAGAAATATATGTCCCTTGCCCTCATACTCAGTCACATCATCACCTAAATACTGTGTTTTCCTTTTCCCCCCTTTCTTTTTTCACTTTCCTGCTCAAATGTAGAATGCTTACCCTATTCCAATAGTCCTCATGAATACCTATATTCTAGAGCTCAGAGAAACCTAACTGCAGAATGCCTAATGGCTTTGACAGTTTTTTTTAAAGAAAATGAAACTTAAGAACATCAGTAGCCAATCTACAAATGTCTCAGCTCGATGTTAGATAACCATCTCCCACACGATGCAATCCAAACAATAAAATCTAGGGCTATAGCTTGCTAAAAACTACATTCCATATGTTAAGGGTAAATGATAAACACTGCATTTTAGGGGATTATGAATATGTACACATATACATATACATACGTGTGTGAGTGAGTGTGTGTGTGTGTGTGTGTGTGTCACCTGCCCTAATTTGAATAAGAAATATATTGACATAATTTATAACTCTCACTGAAGGTACCTCACTCATAATTACCAACACACTTTGGCTCTGGCATTTGCTGTTAATGAGATCAATGAACATTCAGAAATATTACCCAATGTTACTCTGGGCTTCCACATTGCTACTGACAATCATGAGGAAACTACAACTTATCAATTAGCAATGGAATTTCTATCTACAAAAAATAAATTTATCCCCAACTATAAATGTAATGACCAGACCAACACGGTAGCTATCATTGGAGGACCCCGTTCTAGGACCTGTCTGAACATGGCAACCAGTCTGTGCAACTACAAATTTCCTCAGGTAAGATATAAATATGGAGCAAGATGGTGAGTTGACTTGCTCTTTAATAACTTCAGGTGTCAGATCTTCATGATAACTCTTTTTACAAGAAGCCTGAAACATTTGAGGCAAACAAGGGTCAAAATTATGAAAAGGAATCACCAAATTGCTACACATTTTGCTCGATGAAGAGCCCTCTACTTCCAGATGTTAAGCTGTAAAACCATAGCATTAAAGTTTTTTTCCTGTATTGCGCTCAAGCTCAGAAAGTTTGACTAAACAAACATGTAAGCACCGCACATTGTTCTTTAGAACAATTTCTTTTTGCTTTTATTGTTTTCTTACTCCTATTTAGATCACATATGGATCAGCTCCATTGATGAATGATGAAATAGCAGCACTCTTTGTCAAATGGATGTTTCCAGTTGAGATGCATCAGTTTAAAGGAATACTATACTTACTGTTGCATTTTGGATGGACCTGGGTTGGAAAAGTTTGCTTTGTTGAGGAAGATAAAGAGAGATTCATTCAGAATAGTCTTTCCATGTTTACAGAGAAAGGAATCTGCTTTGACTTTATAGAAAGTATCCCTCAAATAATGTATGGTAATGAAGTAGGTGAGATGGTGGATGAGGCAGATAAATTATACAAAGTCATTATGAGGAGTACAGTCATTGCAGTGATCCTGAATGCTGAAATTACAGGCCTGGTGGCTTTGAGATTAATGATCTACGCATTAGATTCTGACGCTATTCCAAAGCAGAGAAGTACCAAAATCTGGATCATGACAGCCCAGATGGAATTCACTTCCCTTCTTGTGCAAAGAGAATTGCCCATTGATTTTCTCCATGGTGCTCTTTCATTTGCAATTCGGTCAAAAGAGCTGACAGGATTCCAAGAATTTATACAGAAGAGAAATCCAAACTTAGAAAATGAAGACGGCTTTATTAGAGACTTTTGGAAAGATGCATTTGAATGTTCGTTCTCTAGTGACATTAGGGATGGGAATTCTGAAAGGACTTGTACTGGGAAAGAGAAGGTGGAGACTCTTTCTCAATCTATATTTGAAATGAGCATGACTGGCCATAGCTACAGCATCTACAATGCAGTCTATGCTGTGGCACATGCTCTAAGGCAATTGTATTCATCTAAAATCAAGTATGGCCAAAGAGTTGATAAGAGGAAATGGAAGCTCTTCTTTCAGTCACAGTGGGAGGTAATTTGAGCTAATGCAAAATTCAGGAAGGTTACCAAGTAATTTGCTTAATACCA